GGGTGTTGACAATGGATAGAAGAAGGACAAGACTTTGCAACTGGGGCAGCAAGATATGGCCCAAGAAAAGCTCCAGGGAGGTCAGCTTTGGCAGAAAGAAGATGAACATGTGACCGTGGGGAAGGCAATTCAAGAAGAAAAGATTAGGAAGGCAGGAAGCGAGCTGGAGAACAAAGAGCGAGGTGATAACAGAGGAAAGCTGCAGGTACGGAGAAATAAATAACAGGCAAAGGAAGATGCTGGGAGCCGCGTTGTTGTTTTTCTTTTTTCCACAAGGGAGCCACTCTGAACGGACGGGTGGTCAGAAAGAGGCTGCAGCTGGGAAGCTCACTAAAGATCCATTTGCAGTATACAGGGCAAATCACATTCCAGAAACTTCCATTTCTATGAAAATCCTAGACTTCCGTGGCCTAGGTGGTGTGTTTCAAACATGGTTCAGAGTGAGGACATGCGCAATGGTACAAGATGCCTGAAAAGACGAGGGAGAGGCGTGAAAGTTAAAAAGAGATGCGAAAAAACCCCAAACACTTTGAGGACAGATAGTACTCATAAAGACGGTCAGGATGGAGACGACGAAGGAAGATTTTAAAGAGGAAAAAGTGAATTTAGGCCAGGACGTGCATAAACACGTGGAACAGTGAGGTTCCTAGATGTAGCGGGTGGCCAACGGTACTGATCACCGGTGAGGAAGGGGTCGCTGGGTTTGCTTAAGGAAAGCTAACTCCTATTTGGTTGAAAACAGTGACAGAAAAAAAAAAAAAAATGGAGACAGATAGTAGAACCCTGCTGTCCTGGACTCTGGCTATTAGGACTCAAATTATAGAAACGAATAATTTCATGACTAGCCAGCGTTAGATCAGCCAGCAGGCACTTGTGATCAAACTAACTGCTTTAGCAGGGGGTCCCTAAGGCATACTGGGGGCAGGGGGCGTTCCCGGCATAGAATAAAGCAGAAGAGAGAGAAATCCAGGACAGGAGACAAGAACGGCAGGTGGTGGGAAAGGGCCACCAACAGCTGCTCTGCTGTCCTTCAGATCGGCATCACCAGGCAGTGAGGCAAGGCTTACACTGCAAGCAGGGCCTATCTGAATACAGCAGAAAGATAAAAGTTTCCTGAATTAAATGACAAGTATTAATTCTACATTTTATATGGCATATTTAAATATAAACCACTAGGCACACCAGCCATCCAGAGGACCCTATAGTTCCGTTTATACATTCCCTGCCTCAAGCCAGACTGCAGCCCAGCCCAGAGGTGACTGGCAAAAGGGAAGCCCAAAGGAGCTCATTTGCGGTGCGTTTGGGGATTGTTTTAGAACCTGGAATCAAAGCCGTTGTTATTTTTTACCCTTTCCTTTTTATATAAGACTTGTTACCTGGCTCTCAAGAGTTTTCTAATATATTGCCCCTTAATTTAAGAGTAGGAAAACACATAGAGAGAGGTCATAAAACAAGTTAATCTGGTTTTTCTGGTTCCCGGTCTAATACCCAAAACACCAGACCACTCGATGCAGTCTTGGGGCGCACTGCCCACTTACCCACAGCTCCCAGCGAGACCAGGATGTTCTCCCGGGGGTTAATGTTCTTGTCGTAAGGGCGATATCCATAGAGGTGGGCGACGCTATTCACCAGCCAGGTGGCGTTGAGCACAATGGCATACCGCAAGAACGTGGCGACGTACAAGCTGTGTTTAAAAGTTTCACCCCAGAAATACCAGGGCACAAACGTGGGCAGGATGAAGCACATCAGCAGGACGGCGGGCTTGTAATACCTACATCGAGAGACCAGGTGCCGAGTCAGCGGAGAGAGGCCTGGGACCTAGCCCATTGCCATCGTCATCAGGGTTGGGCTGTCTCTTTCCTTCTACATTGTGAGGACAGTGTGGCAGGAAACAGAGCAGGAGGGATGGGGTGGGAAATCCTGTGAGAATGCTGTGTTATTATCTGACTTTTAAGATGAGGTAATGAGGGGTTAAGTGACTTTTCTAGGATTGCACCACGAGGAACCAGTGGAACAAGAATTGGAATGCTGGTCATCTGATTCCAAATTCATTGCTCTTTTTTTTTACTATAGCATAATTCCATGTGGGTAAGACAGGCGAGGTCCAGGTTACAAACGAGTACACTGAGTTCTCCTGCCAGGCTGTTTTTCCATTCCGCCTTTGGGCTTCTCTCTCTTCCCTGTCAGTGTTCTCTGCAGAGCCCATGTTTAGTGTCTCGCCTCCATTTCCTGCCAGCCATCCTATAATCCTTCCCCTTCTTTCCCCTCAGGATCTTTGATGCCTGCAGGTCTCTGATCCTCTGCAGGAGGCCCTGACTCATAATTCAGTCTCTCAAGTGTAGACCAGGCCACTGACTTGATTTCCTGCATCTCTTCGGCGGTCGAGCCTTAGGCTCTTATATCATCCAACTCCTTTCCATTCTGGCCGCTGCTTCCCTAACGAATCCTCGCTCCCTCCCTTCGCTCCCTGCTTTTCACCCCCTTCGCCAACGGTCTCTTCACTTGTCATGAGCGTGATCTCTCTGAAGCGTGCCTCCCACCGCGACACATTCCCACTCCAAAAACGTGGAATGGTTTCCTGTTGCCTATCGAGTTAAATCCGGAGCCTGCTTCTGAGGTCCTACAAGAATGGCACCAGCCTCCCTCTCCAGTCTTAATCCTACCACACCCTATATACTTCAAGCGAAAGGACTACGTTGCTGGAACGTACTTCAGGCTTTAGCGCATTCTGTTCTGTTTGTACTGTTTTGCCCTCTCCCTACACCTGTGAAAATCTCTGCCCATCAGTGGATTCCAAAGCTACTTTCTTCACAAACCCTTCCCTGCTGTTCCCCACTATGCATTCTCCATCTCCTTCATGCCTCTTAGGCTATAAACTCCTTGAAGGTAAGGACTATGACACAGTCGTTTTCGTATCCATGGCTTCCTAGGTCAATAAACATTTGTTGAATTTAATTGGTTTAATTAAGATAGCTCAGAAAGAACAATAGTCTACGGCGGTGGACTTGGGGGTTGTTAAAAATTAGGCGTTTTAAATTCTGATTTTGAATATATAAACCCAGTAAATTTCTCAGCTTATGTTTATAAGGAGAAAAAAGGGGGGGCTCCCCAAATACCAGGTGCCCAGTTCCATCACCACTCCACTCACCTCCTCTGGAACATCAGCAGCTTCTCGGCTTTTAGGTCAGACAAGTCTAGCAAGCTACCCTTCTCTTTGACAGCTGGGTGTTTGCGCACAAGCAGCCAACCCACGTGAGAGAAGAAAAAGCCACGTCGGGCGTTGTGAGGATCAGCATCTGTTTCTGAAAACTTGTGGTGAACACGGTGATCTCGGGCCCATTCGTAAGCATCATTCTGGAGGGACAGAGAAGAATGTAGTGGAGGAGAGACACCCCTTAGGGGAATCCCAATGGGTAGGCATCTTCAAGAGCCCATGGCTCTCAGCCCAACCTCGCAAAATACCCAGGAACCCGGGCACCAAAGGAGGGTCATGGAGTTCCCTCCGCTTCCCCCCCAACTTGACACTGGAGCTTAAGTGGAAAAGCAACTTAAAGTCCTAGGACCACATGGATAGGCCTGGATGCTTCATGAAGGTTACACAGAGAGCAGAATGGAGGTAGATCACAGAGCTCAGACAGCTTCATTAGGAGAGAACATTGCATTCTTCGAGCAAGAAATGTTGGAAAAGGTCTTTATGGGTGCCTAATCCTGGGCAGGGGGAACAAGGCAGGCAGCCTCTCGTCCTGGGGACCGGGGTCAGTGGATGAAGCTTCAGGGAGCTCCATTCCAATGCCTTGGCCAGAGACAGATCGCAACTCAGCAAGGCCAGACATAAATCACAAGCTTGGCCACACTCACAAATAACCTCTGGGCTCCTCTGGGACCTCTTTTCAGCCCTTAAAGAACGGGTTAATATCCCTTCCTTATCTTTGCCCCAATATCAGGAGCAGGTATTAAGTCCTTTGGCACAGATGGTTATATAACTACGGTAAGTACCTAGAATATTGCCATGAGGAAGGGAACAAATTTGGTTGCCCCCCCTTTTCCCCCTCTGCTCCAAGCCAAGCCCCACATCACATGCTATCCTTTGCCCATTGCCACCACTTAATAGCTATGAGTTCCCACCCCCCAGTTTCCTTCATTCTCTCTCTGCTATAAACTTTCTGCCTCAACAAACATCCATACTTGACTTAGCCAGCCTGGTGGCCCAAGATAGGACCATAATGTTGGTCTCCCTAACATTTCAGTGGCATAATTCTCTCATCTATGAAATGGGAATAAGAATAGTCCCTGCCTCCTACGAGGATTTAATAAGGTCATCTATGTCAAGCGCTTAGAATAGTACCAGGCACACATTCAGGGCTGTAAGTGTTTGATCTTATCACTTGAAAACAAGAGAATTCCTGAGTCTGTGAAACATCCACTCAGTCCCATCATGGTGGAGTCCTAAGATATTCACCTAAAATGGTGAATCTATTGTCCAGTGTCTGCCCAGGAAACCAGCATCATAACCTAAGGCTAGTGCATTGTAGCCCCTAAAGATGAAGGACCTCAACAACCAGAATGTGCGATAACAGAGGAACCTTAGGATGAACAGAGTATTTCCAATTTATCTCCTATTTCCCTTTCCTAGTGAGTCAGAAGTATGCTCACGCTTTATGGACTTCAGGACTGGGCCTGCACTGGAGGTGACCACAGGAGAGAGGAGAGTGAAATGGCTGTCCAGGTGTTGCTCCTCTCCAAGTGCTGATCTCCTCCATCTGCCCCCGATCATTGAGAGAGTGGAGGGAAGAGCTGAGCAGAGCTGGCTTCCTACCTGGAAAGCCATTGTGTTGGCGATGATCAGGAAGAGCCGCAGGGGCAGCCGAGCTTTGTAGCTCCGGTGACTCCACAGGCGATGGGCTCCTGCTGTTATGCCCAGGGCACTGATTAGGTAATAGAGAAACGCTGCCAGGCAGAAACAGTGAGAGGTCAATAATCTGGAAAACATTTACTTGGTTTCTCTATGTTGGCTGTGTCTTCAGAGGCTTCCGGTGAGGATCTGCTTTTCCCTGAAGTACAGAGACACCTTGGTCTCTTAGGTCTCTCTGATTTTATTACTTGAAAAATACCATCACCTCCCATCTTTTCCACCTAGGAAATGGAATAAGCTAAGGAGTTCCAGGAACTTTGGGAAGGCAAGAGAGAGAGGGGAGCACTTGCTACCCAGTCACTCTCAGTGATGAGGAACATTATCCCAGGTCCCATCTCCTTTGATCTTCAGCTAAGCTTCCCCTAAATTTTAAGGACCACAGACTACTCCTGCGGAGTTTAGGACCCATAAACAAGGGTGGTCTTAAATTTTTTAACAGCCAGTATGGTCCGGGCACTCACCAATTCTAAGGGCTCTGGGTTCTAGAGGACACTCGGGGGCTCAGAACTATGGCTATTTACCAACTGGTACAAAAACATTTCAATATTTAACAGGCAGTGTGGCCATATGCAGGGGACAATCTGCCCTGCATATAAGTCATATCTGCACAGTGTCTTAAGCTTAGCCAAGAATTTTATATTCTCTGATTGATTCTCTGGATCCCCTGAATAGGCTTTAATAGCCTCACTTTGCAGTTGAAGAAAAAGATGCTCAGAGAGGTTGTGTTCATCTATGGTCACAAGGCCAGTAAGAAGTGGAGCCATGGTTTGAAACTAGGATTTCTGTCAACAAGCGTTCATGTTCCAGCTATACTATCCAGCTCCCCAGGACATGCACATACAGTTCCTGTGTCTCTCCTTTGCCATGTCCCTCTGTCAGCTCATACACTCTCTGGCAAGGCTAATTTTAGACAATAGTGGGATATGCTCAAAACTGTCCGTGGAACACCCAGGACTGTCCTCCGTCACCTTCCTGGAGGCCTGCCAGCTCAGGAGGTGCCAGCTATAACCTCTAGCTGGGAAGCAGGTTGCTGGGCGTACCCATCTTCCTCTGTTCAGTAGCTCTTGGAGGCAGGGGCTAAGTGAGGCCTTGGGAAAGCAGTTGACTGTTGACAATGTTTCATTCCTAGGAAAACAGCTAGAAACAATGGATCCTCAGTGGCCACAGAATTTAGTTGCAGTTGGAGACACCACACATTGTAACAAATTGTTCTGTGTTCTTCTAGAGCCATAGATAGCAGTTGCCTAAACAGCCCCCTCCTCTGCCCTGCCCTATGTTCCTCCCCCCCGTCCCCTCCTACAGGATCCCGAGGACAGCCGTGGAGCCAGAGTCTATCCCAGTGGAAGTTCTGTCTCTAATCCCTTTGCGCTGTGACTTGCTGGCCCCGAGCCATGTGGCAAGTATCTTCCCAGATGCAAAATCTGCCTGCATCTGCACCTGGGAAAATGACAGCTGAGCCACAAGCACACGAATCAAAAAGAATGAAAAACGGCTTTGGGCATGAAAGCAGAAGGCTCAGGACCAAGGAAGCTACTGGGGCTGTTTCAGGCCACAGATGAGCCTAGCGAGTTAACTCAGAAAGCACGGGAGATACTATTATTAATGGGGGAATTGGAAAAAGGACCCAGGCACTCTGGTGCCTTTTCCATCAATACCTCTAAGCCTATCAACCAGGAGGCTCATTCTCCTCTAATGTCCAAATTGATGGGTAAGCAAAATCTCATGGCTTTCGCCCTAAGAGACAGAAGTTTTGCTCCCTGGCCTACAGTGTTGCCAGAGATATCCCTTCAGCCTACCCCTAAGGGCCCTTCTGGGAGGCTCTCTAAATTGCTCGGTCACGAGAAATGCTGCAATCACAACCAGTTGCTAATTTAACACTGTCCTTGGGGATAGACAGAGGAGTGCTGATATCCCCCTATCAGGATGGTCTACCACAGGGCCCAGGGAAAGGAGTATACGAATGGTCACCATCCAGTCTCTGTGTGCCACAATTCTCTGTCCAAAGGCACTGTGCACACTAATGGGCGGGGCACAAAAAGGTAGTGAGCACAGCCTTGGTTTGGGGACCGAACTCTGCCCCCTGCACCAGCAGCCGAGGGTGGGGAGCAAGCAGAAGCAGCCTGGCCAGACTCTGGACTTAACCAGACCTACAAGGAGTGCTGAGGCTGGAAGGGGCTTGCCCGCAACAAAGCTACCTGTGAAGGCTCCTCTTTGGGGGAGGAGGGGTGGGGAGCAGAGCCCACAATTTCCCTGGGGAATCCTCATGCTGCAAGGGAAGTTGGGCTGCGTTCTCAGAGGGGCTGGAGAACAGATGTGCCCCTCCCCTCCCAAACAGAAAAGTCGTTCCTGGTCCGCAGAAGAACTGATTTCCGGTGCCTGGCCAGCCCTAGCAATGACACACCTGTAACCTAAGGACCACTACCTTCCTGATCCTAAAAAAGTACTGTTGTTCTAGTTTGTACCTGGAAGGACTGAGATCCTGAGAGAGGGGAGCTACCCAGTTGCATTTTACTGTCTGAGAGGATTTCCCAGCATGAAACTCTAGGGACCAGATCCCAACACCTTTAGATGTAAGAGGTCCTAGGAGAATCAGCTAAAACTTGGCCTACCAGCCCTTCTATATAACTAGCCTCCAGGAGTACAGCTCTCAGCAGGCACCCCACACCTGAGACTACTCTGGAAACCCTAAGGTTGTTTTCTGGAGAGAGTTTTGGCTCACTACCCTCAGAGAGTGGCAATGTGGGGCCCCCAGCTCTTTAGAGTTCCCTGCTCTCCCCTCCCCAACTCAGGCTTATGGTGGCAGAGGTGAAAATGCCTGCAAAGCGCATGTGTGATTCCAGGGGGCAGGGCCCTGCTATCAGCTCATACCCATGGATCCCTGAAAACACTGAGCTAAGGGCAGGTCAGGGACAGAATTGGGAACTGTCTCCCTCACTGCGGCAGCCTCAAGGCTGGGGCTGTTTGGGGCTCTTTTCTGGCCTGGTCTGGCTGTCCCTGCAAGGAGAGACTGCATGGATCAGGAGACAGGGGCTGGAGCAGGCTAGATGGGGGGTGGGATGTGAAACATTCCTTCAACCTTATTTCAAAGGCACGGTATGCTGAGTGGTGCATACAGTGCCCTGGAAACCTACAGGGAGTCACAGAGGACCACATCTGTTTAACTTGGGTCCTACAGGAGCCTTCATCTTTCTCTCTAACAAAGGAGGCTGGTGGGCCAAGGGTCAGGGCAAATAACTTTGTGGGTAACCACCTCTCTCTTCCTCCCTCTCCTACTCTCTTCCTGAGCAGTTTCTCCTGCTGTCCCAGGAGTGTGCTCAGCATATACCCCCTGAAACCACTGGTCTCCGTCCATGTTTCCATGCCTCCCAGGTAGGGGCCTTGATTCTTTTGTGGTTGGCAGGGCTGGGAGAAGCAGCCAAGCAAATGGCTTGAAACAGAAAAGGTCTTTCTGGTACAGGTCTACTCACTTCAATGCCTGCAGCGCATGATCTCTGGGCTCCCTTCCAAACACCCATATGGAAAGACCCTGGCATTGCCACTCCTGCCTCCCAGTTCCCCTAGGCTCTGTTCCCAGCCCACTCAGCCTCTTAGAAATTGCTGGGCGCCCTGGCCCATGTGGCTCAATGGTTAGAGTGTTGTGCAGGGAGGGGTCTCAGGTTCCATTCCAGGTCAAGAGCATTTACCTGGGTTGCGGGTTCACACCCTGCCCCCCAGTCAGGAAGGTTCGGGAGGCAACCAGCACCAGCCATGTGTCCCTCTCATATCGATAGTTCTGTGTGTGTTTTCTCCCTCTCTCTCTCCCCCCTCCCTCCCTTCTACTCTCTGAAAAGCAATGGAAAAAATATCCTCAGGTGAAGATTAACAACAACAACAAAAATCTCTGGGAAAACCTGGGCCTGGAGGGGCTGGTGCCTCTGTTCCAGGAAAGCTCCTATCTTATTAATCATGGAGAGAGCCTGGGGTACTGGGTCAGGAAGACAAGGAAAGTGGTTACCAAAGAGCCAGGTGTAGACCTTGCACGTGGGGACCAAGACGATGCCATACAGGGCTCCCAAGTGTAGCAGAAACATAAGGATGATGTTCCTCCAAACATACACGACCTGGGGCCTCGGGCCCTTCTCGTCTTGGTAGCTGGGGTCGTAAATGTCATCTTTCATCTCGGGGCGGATGTCTTCTTCCGCCTGTAGGAGGCTCTTGTCCAGCTTGCCCTCCCCATTCTGCAGGATCCTGGAGTGAGGCTCTGTGATGGTGGTGGCGGTCGTGTAGGAGCTGGAGATCTGCAGGGGAGAGGAAGGGGGAGTCAGGAGAGGAGGGCCCACGTGGAGGCAGCAGGGGCCACCCTCGAACCAAGCTGGGGGAGGGGGTATTAGCGCAGACCCAGCCCCAATACCCAGGTTAACTGAAGGCGGGGTCTACCCCGGAGGGAAGGAAGGAAGTCCCCAGGAACCGTGCAGATGGGGGGGGGGGTGAAACCTCGAGGTGAAGGGGCAATAGCAAGGAGCGAAACACTTTCACCCCTCCGAACACACAAAGGAACCCCCGCAGGCATGCAGGGGGGTATCGGCACGACCCGGTTTTTCGGTTAAGCTTAAGAAACAAAAAGTTCGGAAACCAAGTAACCAAATTACAATGCACGTTCCCAACAAACGAAGGCGGCACAACTCGCAAAAGATGGCTCTGCCCTCGGCGGAGGTCTCCACTCCTCCATCCACGCGGCACCGAGAAGCGCAGCGGCGCGGCCCCGCGGGGTGGGAGCCCGCGCCGCGAAACTCACCTCCTCCTGCAGCAAGTGGGCCGGCATCTGGGCTCTCGGACGCTGGGGTCGCCGTCCCAGGGCTGAGGCTGCGGAGCGGGCTCGGGCGGCCGGGCAGCGGCGAGGTCGCGGTGGCTGAGCCCGTTCGNCGGATGGATGTCCGACCCGACCCACTGCGTGTGAAGCAGCCGAGGCTGGGGACTTAAAGGCTGGAGCTGGCCGAGGATGGCAGTGTCCCGTATTTCCTCGGACTCCTTTTATTGGCTGCCAACGGGGGCAAAGTGCGCAGAGTCGGCTCGCCGTGGGATCCCTGCATGGGCGGGGAGGGGAGGGGACAGGGACAAGGGGTATCAGGGGAAGGACACGCGAAAACTGGATGCTGCAGACATACCGCGGTTCAGCCGCCGCAGCTCCTGCCCCTGGGGAAATGCTAATGGGCTTCTGTAGACTCTGGAGCGTCATTGGCCACGGGGAATTTGGTGCCACCTCGTTCGCCGTCGCCATTGGCTCGGCGCAATCTGCTGTTCCCTCTGCCGCGAGCTCCTCGNCCTCGCTCCCCCTCCCGCCCCTTCCCCTCGGCCTCTCTTCCACCGGCCGCCGGGCCTCCGTCCCGCACCCCGCGGCCGCGGAGACGCGCGGGAGCCTTCTCTCCGGAAGACCGAGAGGACCCGATCCGGGAACGGGGGGCGGGGACCAGGCCGGGACTGGCCCCCGGCACTTGGCGAATGGATGGGCGCCGGGGAAGTTTCGCAGAAAACAGTAGAGAAGCCACGGGGGCGCCCACTACGCACAACTCCATCCCGCTTTCCCTGCGGTTCCCCGGGACACGTGGGG